AAGGGAGGATTCAGGGCGACTAGGAAGCTGCTCCAGGCCGGAGAACAGCAGGAACACAGTGTCAGACATGAGAATTCCTAAGCTGACTGCTGGACCCTCCCTGAGGGCAGTAATGGCCCCACTGGGGTGAAGAAGGGGACCAGAGTAGTGAATTAGAACAGCAGCATGTCTGCTCGGACCTCCAGCATGTTGGGGAACAGCCTGGAGGGTGGCTCTGAAATGGACTTCATATTTCCCAGAGCCTCCAAGCATCTCTGGCCTACTTGACCTACACTAGGCCCGGCCCCTCCTCTTCCCCTGCCTCTAGGCACAACGACCCCAGGTGTCCCAGATTATTACACTCCTCTTCTCTGTGACTTCGTTTATTCTCAGTGCTCAGCTCTGGGTCAGCTCCCAAGCCCCCCTCCCCCCCCCCCACATACACACACACGGAGGGACAGCTCCTGGCCCCAGCACCTCCCACATTCTAGCAGAGAGGTTGTGGCTGTGAGCACTGTGGTGTGGTGGCCAGCCTGCAGCAGGCCTTGCCAGCCCTGTCCAAACTAGATGCGGCGCAGAGAGCACAGGCCTGGGCGTCAGGAGATCGCACCCCTGCACATGACAGCATTGGTTTAGGAATGCCCTGGGCTGCAAGTAACAGACAACCCAAACTGTCACGGCTTCAACAAATGGGTGCTTATGTTTCCTGCATGAGGCCATTATTGCCCTCTGTGAGGGTGCAGCAGGCAGCTTAGGAATCTCACGTCTCAGACAGTGTTCCTGCCCTTCTCTGGCCCTGAACATCTTCCCAGTCCCCCTGACTCTTCCCTGTCATTACACAGTCTAGCGGAGAGTGTCTCAGGGCCCGGGCAGGTACTCAGAGATTCTTTCTTTCTGGTGCACACAGTAGCTACGGAGCAAGGACACGGCTCTGGGGTTCGGTAGAGCTGGGCCCCTTTCCGGCTCTGCTGCTAACTAGCTGTGCAGCTGCAGACAAGTCACTTCACCTCTTGGAGGCTCTGCTCCTTTTCTGCCCACCCCCCTACCCCGCAACAAGGGTAGGACTGGATTATCCTCAGCTCTCACGTCTCAGGATGAGCTTCCTTCCTGACATGTGAGTCAGCTCTACCTATGCGCACACACAGCTTTGTAGATTTACTCATGTCTTTTAGCTTAAGGAGACGAAGTTAGAGCCCATTCTAATATGAAGATAGAGAATAAGGAACATGAAAAAGGACAGAAGAAGGCATTCCGGGACTGACTTCCAGATCCAGATCTCACCCTTCCATTCCTTCCAGCCCATGGATCCGTACATAACAATGCTTTGTTTTTTCTTTTCTCCCCCACCACTTCCTCCATTTTTTTTTTTTTTTTGCATGTATCATGCATACTTTGCCTCCCATTTTCCCATTTCCAGGTCTTTATAGTACAGTGATGTCACCTGACATGAGGGAAATGAAAAGCTCAAAGTGAGGAGGGCATGTGATGTGATGAGCACTGGGTGTTATATGCAACTAATGAATCATTGGACATTATATCAAAAACTAATGATGTAATATATGTTGGATAATTGAATTTAAATTTTAAAAAATGGAAAAAATAAACATATATAATATATACAAAGGAAAAGTTCAAAGTGTTTCTTTAATTCCAGCCTTTATGAAAACCAGAAGCATCTTGAGTTAAATAGTGTCAGCTTCATTTCCTATCTTTTGGCATTCCTGATTCATTATTTAAGGTGTGGCTTGGTGAGAAAAGTGTTCAATTGGAAACCTCATCCCCCAGCTACTTCTTTGGCCAATGTGGAATGTTCTGAATTGTCTAAACCCTGTCTCTCAGCTCCTACCCAAGGCTGAAACCCTTTTGTGTGTCCTCCAGGTGTTTTCACAGCTGATCTAGTTGACATTCATCAGGATGCAGAACTGAGTGCCCCACGGTGTCCGAGCCTGGCCTGGCTCCTGCCTACCGCACCAACCTAACCTCTCGCCTCTCATTCTTGACATTGACCCAACTCCACTATGTTGTTCCTCATCTCTGAGCCCCTGTACAGGCTGCCCTTCTGCTTGGAATGCCTTTCCAGTGACCCACCAAACCCATGCATATCATATAGTTAACCCAAGCCCATGACCACTAACAGGAGCTCTTTCTGCCCTTCTCATAACATCAGGCCCAACCATATGATTTCACTTCAACTCAATATATTTACTATTATTAGGTCTCACAACTAACACATTAACTATATATTAATGATGATGAGATATTGCTCGAGGAAGCACATTTCAAGGTCACCACACTCCCATTGTTCAAAAAGGCCTACGATACGGCATAATTCTTTTCATTGTCTCATAAGTATTCTTTTTTGTAGGTTTTTTCTAAGCCTTCTACCACTCCAGCTTAGCACCTACTCCCAACTAGGAGGATGCTGACCACCCACGGGCATTATCCCCCTAAACCCCTTAGAAGTCCCACTACTCAACACCTCCGTACTTTTAGCTTCCGGAGTATCGATCACGAGCATATCACTATCCTCCCCTGGCTACCTCTACTCACACTTTCAGTATAAATAAACATCTTTTTCCCAAGATGCTTCCCTGACCCAACCCCCCAAATTGGGCTAAATGCCCTACTGGAGCTCCAACAATCTTGTGCTTACCCACATTTCAGATGAAATGTATGAAGCACACAAATTTAAGTCATGAGAATTTAATCATGTCTCCTTGGCCAAAGAGGGAGAGAGAAACATTTTTTTTTTTTTAAAGATTTTATTTATTTATTTGACAGAGAGAAAGAGAGGAATCACAAGTAAGAAGAGTGGCAGGGAGCGGCAGAGGGAGAAGCAGGCTACCGACTGAGCAAGGAGCCCGATGTGGGACTCGATCCCAGGACCCTGAGATCATGACCTGAGCCGAACGCAGACGCCTAACGACTGAGCCACCCAGGCGCCCCTAACATTTTATTTTTATTATTATTTTTAAGATGTATTTATTTGAGAGAGAGAGAAGACAGCGCAGGAATGGGGGTGGAGGGGCAGAGGGAGAAGGAGAAGCAGACTCTCCGCTGAGCAGGGAATCCGACCTGGGGCCTGATCCCAGATCTCTGGGATCACGACCTGAACCAAAGGCCGACGCTTAACTAACTGAGCCATCCAGGCTCCCCGAGAGAATAACATTTTAAACAAGGTTACCCTTGGCCCAGTGAACACTAGCCTGAGAGGGTGAGATGGAAGCCCCAATGCATTAGTCCTCACGTGTTTTTATGGTGGGAACGTCTGCCCTCTCTGGGTATGATGCTGGTGTTTAAAGACATATTTTTCTCACAGAGCAGGAAATGTCCCAGACATAGCAGAGACGGTTCACATGCTGGGGGACGAAAAAAGGAAGAAAAAAAACAAGGCATACCCACTACAAGAACTTATCTGTTAGGGAAGTTTTAGGACATGGGTTCAAATCCTAGCTCTGCAGCTAACCAACTTGGGTACTTTAGTCAAGTCACTGTAATCTGTTGGCAGGTGTGTCTGCCCGTCTTTATAGGGTTACCCTGAGCGGCACCCGCCTGGCTCAGTCCGTAGAGCATGAGACTCCTGATTTTGGAGAGTTCAAGCCCCACATTTTGGCGTAGAGCTTACTTAAAAAAAAAAAAAAAATTAAAAAAATATATAGGGTTACCCCGAGGCTTAAATGAGGTAACAAATGTAATGTACCCATAAGGTAGACAATAACAGTTCGTGTTACTTCAGCCAATACCCCTCTCCTTCCTCAGAACCTCGAACCAATGGATTCCATCCACCGCAGGCCAGGGTCTGCGCAGGACCACCAGGCACATGAAGAGGCGAGGGGGCATTCCAGTAGCATTTCCGATGTTCCAGGCTGTAAGTGTCGCTGAGCTTCGGCCCCAGGCTGGGACCCAGGGGTGCTTCCAGCCCTTCAGCAGCCACACGCTGGCATTTAGGAATTGGTCCCTGGGGGCTTCTCGGGCTTCGCCTCGCTCCCTCTCCGACCCCCAGTATAGCAGTCTTCCTTCCGGATGGCATTAAGCTGAGTCCGGGTCCATCTCGCTCCTGCCCGCGAGCTCCTCGGGGGTGCCGAGCCCAGCCCGCGGCTACCCAGAGCTGGAGGCAGGAAGGGTGACTGAATCCTCGACTCTCGAGTCACCGTTAATCATGCAGAAGCCCGGCTCCTCCCCGCAGCCCCTGCCCTATAACTGCTGCCGCGGCTCGATTCCGTGCCTCGCTGTCCCGCTCAACCCCCGCACACAGTAGGCGCTCCACTAACACTGTAAATGCCACCCCAGCGGTCGCACTCAAGCCATCCCCAGGGCCATGCGCCGACTCTTTCGGGGGCGCCTGCAGCGCCCGCCGCGCCTGGCCGCCCCTTCCGCGCCCAGAGCGCCGCCTCCTCCACTAGGGACAGGACCAAGTCGCCCCTAGCAACAGCAGCCGGGCAGGCTTCCTCGGGTCGCGCTGATTGGCCGAGCTCCGGGAGGCGGCGGTGCCGTCACTTCCGGCATCCGGAGGCAGCAGAGGAAGCCGAGGGGCGGCCATCTTGGGTCCGTGAGGCTCCGAGGTACCGGGAGCGGCGGCGGCCACCGGGTGGAGGCTGAGGCGGCAAGCGAACCGGAGGGAGCAGAGTAGCCGGGCGCAGGCGCCGCTTCCGCAGCCCCCTCCATGGTCTGCGCCCGCAGCCCGCGGCGGCCTGTCTTACACTCCACCTTGTCCACATCCTCCTCGTCCTCCTCTTCAGGGGCAGCCGGCGGCGCTGTGTGGAGGCCCCGGCGCTGAAATCCGCGGTGCGACGGGCGAGGGCGGACGAGGAGGCGAAGGGGTTTGAGCCCGCGGGGCGCCCTGAGGCGCGGGG